AGAAGGTGAAAGAGATTCAGTTAATAACTATAGAGGTATTACATTATTGCCTTCGATAACAAAAGTTTTCAGTGATATTATATATCATCGTCTGCTTAATTGGGTGAACTTGCACTATCCTATTGTGGAAGAACAGGCTGGTTTCCATAAAAATTATTCATCAGTTGACAATCTATTCGTTTTATCAACCATTATTGATCGTTATTTGTCACGAGGAAGTAAATTATACTGCGCATTTATAGATTTTGAAAAGGCATTTGATAGGATTAACTACACCTTACTCTTTTATAAACTAACAAAATTGGGAATGGGTGGCAAACTATTTAAAGTATTGAAGTCCATGTACCAAGATATCAGGGCATGTGTTTGCTCCCCAGTAGGTATTTCTGAATTGTTCAAATGTGAAATAGGAGTCCAACAAGGCAGTGTTTAATCGCCACTCCTTTTCTCTCTCTTTGTAAATGATCTTGACGAATCAATACAACACAGCCACGCTGGAGTTTATATAACGCCTATACAATTATTTTATTTGTTAGGCCACACCGACTTAATTTTATGGATGACATCCACGCGCGCATTAGTTTTCGCCTGTTCTAAAAAAAAAAAAACAATCTCCGACGACGAGTCTCTACAGATCGGTTTTCTGTCCGGAACTTGCCGACTCATATTGTCGCAAAGCGCCGGCTTGTCATAAAACTCTTTTTGGACTATCTAAAAACGTGCCAATTTTGTCGTAAATGATCTTCTGCACATGCGTATTGCGTTGCCGGGAATATGTGAGTATAAAAGTTCAGAGGAAAAACTGAGGGATTGTTGTAGACTGGTACGCAATTGACGTCGGCCAGGGAGATATGACGTTTACACAGCTATACGAGAGATTGGTTAAAGCTAACCCCTACTGTGTAGAGAGGAGCAAGCAAGGACATTTCTGTATCATTGCAATGTTTTGTTAGTTATTGTCATAAAGTAGTGTATGTACATTTCGCCTTGACTTGTACTGAAAATGGTATTCATGTTGTACCTTGAATGCAGTGTTTTGACTGAAGGTAATTCATCATGACTACATGTACTAGAGCTTGTCTGAAATGGTTATACCTGTGACAGTAATACAGTACGAGATATGTATATCAACATGTGCCTCCTACAAATAAAGACTTCTTGTTGTTCTTTGATACATTGTGTTCTGTGGTTCAATTCATAATAGCAGCTCCGTAGTCCTGTGGTTTTATAGCAGGATTTTTTTGTTGTTGACAGCATTTTTTTTTTTTCGCCCTCTCGCATCAGTTTTGGGGTCTCCAGAGGATGTCATCCATAAAATTAAATCAGTGTGGCCTTATTTGCAAACGATTTAGCAGTTTTTAGCTCTTCCATTATGGGTTTACAACGTCTTCTGAATAATTTGCCTAAGAATTTCTGCTCATTGGTTACGTATTGAAACTGATAGAAAATTCCATAATACACGCACAGAAAGAGTTTGTATTTTATGTAATACCAATTGTGTAGAGAACGAGTACCATTTTTGCATTATCTGTCCGTTTTACCAAGAGTTGAGATCTAAATACATCCCAAGTTATTATTATACACTTCCCTCACCCGAAAAATTTATATCGCTATTACAATTACAAAATGCAGTAATCTTGCATAATATTTCTAAATTTATTTTTCTCGCCACAAAAAAGCGTAATACAATTATTTTGGTCCGACAGTTCATGTTCTTTTCATATTTTCTTGTTCTTTTTCAGTTACTGTAAAATGACATTGTCCTCTGAGGCCGGAGGCCTACAGTATTATGAATAAATTTAATTTATATTCAATGAAAAAACATGGCAAATATCGTATCGCATCAAGCATTCAACCGAAATCATTCGTTTACGATGAAACTAAGTTGAATATTACTTCCAATTCACAAAAATTCAACGAATTAATTTTTTTTCATTATTATAATCATTGTAGCCATGTAGCCCCTTCCTGTTATCTGTTTCCAACTTCTTCCAAAGTAAAACTGGCGAAGCCATGTAATTGCCATACAACCATCAACTGTGGGAAAACTTGTATGTTATTGAAAACCTTTATTTTGTTGTCTGTGAATTAATATAATATTTGAAATGATGTAATGGTGCAAAATATTCTCAAGCAATTGGTCTTCTGGTGGCATTACACTGCGCATTTATGCACAGACAGTATCCCACTGCGGGATATCAGCTTACTAAGTGATGATTGTGGTTGAAATGGAAAACTGAATACAAAAGTCCAGGAACATCTCAAACAGATTTCTGTCTGCTGTGAATGCATGTTTCGTTGCATCAAATAAATAACCCAATTTTATGATAGAAGCTTGCAATCTTGTGCCATACAGGGTCAAGTGATTGAGCAATAAAAAATGTGATTTTATGTATTAGGTCATTGAATGTATCCAAAAACATGGTACCAATGATCTGAAATTTCAGGAGTGTTCGCTGAAGGTTTATCAATCTTGCGTATTGTCTTGTTCTTTTTGTCTTGTTCCTGCATTTCAGTTACTAGAATTTATACTGTTTTTCTTCTAATAATTCGGCCACTTTCAAAAACAATTATTTATTCATGGTCGAATTGCAAGAATACAAAACTA